GCAAAACAGCCATATTTACTTTATATTGTTACATTTTTAATTCATTCAAGTAACCATAGAAATTAAAATTCATGATTCAAGACTGTCATATTTCGATTTGTGGCATTCACAAGTTGAATAAAAACTAATCTGTATAATGCGTATTATATGTAAAACAGTAAAATTAAGAGTAATGTTCGTATTGTGTCTCAGAATGTATAAATATTGCAGTCAATATTGAATTTAGTACTATGATATTTAAATTTATTATTTAAAAAGACAATATTTGTAAACGATTCAACATCTTAAAATAAAGCAATCTTACATTCACTTAAAAATCAAAGTCACAAAATTAGTTTGAATGTTTAGAATTTAGAAAGAATTGCCAAATATTTTAAAATGTAATATTTCAAAACATGATTGTAAATATTTAAGTTTTTATTTCATATACGTAAGAAAAAAACTCTTTATGATAATTCTCAAAACTGTACATTTTAGATATGTGATTATTTTATAATGGGTATAGTACGATATTTATTAACAGTCGGTATTTCATTCCACAATTTAGTTGCAGTAAGAGTTTTGGGAAATCGAGATTTTCTTCTCAAAATGACCCTTATAATGTCCTATCTACCAAATTCCTTCAAACTAGTATCATCCGAGAGCATTCCGAAAAAAAATCGTGTTTTTTACGTAGCCTAAATGCATTCCAGTTTATTTAAGTTACCCTAGAAATTCAAGAATTGCATGGGATGGTTATTATTATTTATTTCATAATTTTTATTTAAAACCATTCTTACACATTTTAAGTTTAAGCCAATGTACCTACAACTTAATTATAATATTTTTTTTATTATTGTCTATAATTTAATTATACATTTAAGTATAAAATTGTATATTAAGTGCCATTATATTGTCTGAGTCGATCATCAGCTCTGTCTTCTAAATTTTTTTATAAAAATCTCAAATCTTTATGAATTTAATCTTAAATTATACTTAAAAATTAAAATTAGAATAAATTCGTTATTAAAGTAAAAATAGTGGTGCTGTTACTTAATGGATTACTCTGTATACTATATATTTAACGCGTTACGTCAATTCAAATTTATATACCAACGTCTCGTATGTACTCGTACAATTCGATATAACCGTCAATTTTTATTTTCAAGCGTTCGAGAAAAACGAAAAATTTCAGTGTCACCATCACCGTCACGGTTTATCGAGCATAAACTTATATATATAAATATATATAGATAGATAGATAAGCTAAATATCACGCGTCGACCAGGAAAAAGAATGTTAACCGAGAGAGCCAATATAAAAATTGTCACGAAGGTATGTGGAGGGGGGAAGGAGGATTTAATATATACACTTTACTCGACGTAAACGATTGCGGGGGCGGTCGGTCAGACGAGCGATTTATCGTTATTATAGTACCCGTCTAATTATAAAATGCGTCTGAAACAGTGAAACGAAAAGAGAAGATAATATTGTAATCGAAATCACTTGCATATAATAACGCACGCTGTCATTGTTGCCATGAATCGCAGAGAGACAGACAGAGAAACAGTGAGGGAGAGAAAAAAAGAAAAGGGATTTAAGTAAATATTATACATCATATACAGAGTGAACCGACGCATTTAACCGTCTACTATATTATGTCTGTATTATACAATATTATTAGAGGGTTTGCTGTAGAAACCAAAGTAGTCTACTTTTTGAAATTGTTCAGAATGATCAAAAAACACACTTATGGTTTGAAAATATTTTTGAAAATTATACTTATGCTTATAATTTCTAATTCTATGAAATATACTGGACACTGTTGGTTCGCCTCTGTACTATTTGAATTTTACAAAAATGGAATGAACTTTACCCTACATTTGGTTTTTTCACCACAATTTTTATTTTTTCCCCCATGAAAAATTAGTTACTCTCATTTTTTTAAACAAAACAAAACTATATTTAACATCAAACAAATTGTATAGAATGTATATATACTACTTATATATATATTTTTTTTTTTTGTTATGTTGAAATGCGGCTCCAATATTTTCAACAAAAAATATGGTAAATTCGGACATAAATTATTTTTTCAGTACCTAAAAACATAATCAGATAAATTATTTTACTATAAAAATTATATATATATATATATATATATATAATATTATAACAGATTAATTTTATTGCTACACGCAATTGTAAGAAATTTTTTCTTAATCGCATTCCATACAAAAGTGCATCTTTGAAAATAGTGTACTTGCTTTGGTTTTTATAGCAACCCATTCGATCGGTTTTAATTGGATAGCAAATTTGACTTTGCAGTAATCCTTTAATCTGCACTCTATATAATCTACATCAAGTGGGTGAAGGTGAAATTACAGGAGCCAAGAATGTCGTTATTGAAAAGAGGCGGTAATAGCGTCTTTACTCAGATGCTATTTTCGCCGCACGGAAGTCTTCACGAATTTGCTGTGCCCATTAATCCGAATCTTTACATTATATTATTAAACACACAACATTCGATTAATCCACTAATAGTAATTTTATTTTTTTGTTATACATCGTCTATTATTTGTTGTTTTGGTACACGCCTACCTATTATAGTATTACTATACCACAGTAAAACAGGAAATAAATATAAAAATATCTACAGGTAACGACATTCGATAATATGAACTATATGAACTCCAAAATAGACGCAATGAATAGGTAATTTAAAGGATGCTAGTTGTAATTTATTCATGTACCGTTTTTAGTATAATTTAAAGTATTAATATAGCCGTTGCAAAGTATAATAAATATTGTAATCGTGAATATGATAAAATACTGAGAACAGTAAAATTTTATTTGTGTAACAATATATATATTATAACTGCTTAATCCTTCTAAAATTGGAATCAACACGTGCATTTTTTTTCTGATTCAGATCTAATACCTATTACACTCGTCCACCCACTTAAACCATTAAAGGCATTTACCATGATATTTTTATCTACCTATTGTAATTAATATAAAAATGTTAGTTAATACTAAATTATTAACTCGCCCAACCGCCCATTCTCCATCTCTTTAATAATTTAGAAGTTACAGCCTCTTCATCACGTCACTGAGCAATATATATAGTATATCGACCGCCTCAAGTTTTCTCGCACGACTTCTTTTGACTTTTTTTGACTGATTTTACGGCGATCACATTGAGACTTCACATCATATCATATTATTATCATACACAACGCGTGTATAGTTTCCGGTATAATATTGTATACTTGGTTTAACGAGAAGAATCGGGGAAATGTGAAATTTAGGTCATGTGGAGCAGCTCAATGTATTAAAGAAGGGGTGTGTGTTGTGTTTTGATTTTTCATCGTAATTTACGATAAAATATAATAGGGTAACTCGATACGATTAAACAATCGACGTTTTGTTTTGTTTTAGGCTGACTGCTCCAGCACCATATATAAAGATAGATAATACAATATATATACAATATACTGCACCTAATAAGATAATCGAGAGCGTATAAAATATAGACTCGTGATCATAATATGTAGAAGTAGTACTAATCATCCTGTCCAAGAGATTAGAAAAAATTGTTAAATATTACACTCTCTCCCTCTTTATAGCCAAAAAATCAAATGAAATAACTTTTTTAACGCAACTTATCGTAATTATATTGTTTAATACACGTATAACTTCAATAAATCACATAGAAGTTAAAATCAGACTAGCTGTTAATAAATACGAGTACCTACCACAGTTTCTGTAGAACAAAAAAAAAATAATAATTTGATATATTAAACCTAAGATTCTTATGTCCTATTTCTAGTAAAAAAATAAATAAAAGTCATACATTTTTTTATGTTTGTACGTTCAAGGGGTGTAATTACACATGCTATTCTCCATGATTTTCTCAGCACATTTTGCAGCATCCGTAACAGTATATATTTTTTACAGTATAATATGATGTAATATATAATAACACTCGTCATATTTCAACTTATCGCGTAAAAAATATTATTCTATACAGTGACATCATGTCATTGACAATACAAAATCAAATTTATAGTTTATACTATAACTATAGTATTAAACCTTCACCATAATATCATGTAAATTATCAATACATTATTAATTTGTACATAAAACGTTTTTTTTAATCCGAATAAAACCCATGTGCTTGTCTTAAAAATACACTTAAGTTATTACACGTAAGTAGACTTAAATAAAATTTAAATAAACCATACATTACGTGGTTTTGTCATAATAAATCAATATAAGATTTATAACACAAAATCCTTCCGTCATCACTGGTAAATAATACGAAATGTTCCTACTGTTCTCGAATGACAAAAATGATAAATATGATGATTGCGTTTGATCGCCCCATACAAACATGCAGAAAACATTTTTAAAAAATAAAATCAACAGAGCCAATCTTAAAAAACTCAAGTTTGCGTTATAGATCAATAATAGATTAACAAATTCGTATTTTTAAAACGCTTGAGACCGTGTTATTAGTTTTGAGATTAGAACGTTATGTTCACTGTGAAAAATCAAAATGAAATAGTGGCTTATCTAAAGCGCAAATATTACACCATCAAGGCCGATCACGTGAATCTTTATTGAAAATTCATTTTTGATAAAAAAAAAAAAAAAAAAAGTAATAAAATAAAAACATATTATAGCCTTTATAAAGAGCAAATATTACACTATCGAGGCCACTCACACGAATTTTTAGTAAAAATAACTTCTCAAAAAGACACAACGGCGTGGTACTAACACACAATAGGTTAAATTTAACCTTCTCTGTGATACTAAAAAACTTCCGAAATTCGTGACGATGAAATAGTTTTTTGTTCCTCTCGAAAATTCGACAAAACTGAAATCGGCCTTAATGGTTCTTAACTGTTCGGAGGAACCGTCGATGACACGTCGGAACACGTGCCAAAAGCCATTGGTTAAGATAAAAAAAAAAATAAAAAAAACAGTAATAACGAATTTTCTAATTTACTCACATAGCTCCTCGCCGAGCACCCACGTTTCTGGTCTGGAGTTTACCTCCACGAATACGGTGGGCGTGCATATGAGCAGCACCATGAGGTCGGCGATGCTCAGGTTCATCAGAAATATGTTGGTCGAGTTGCGCATGTCCTTGGACTTGAGTATGACGATCGGCACCATCATGTTGCCGACCACGCCGACGCCCAGTATGATGACGCACACCACCATGCACGTGGTGCGTATGTAACCGGGGAACGACAGGTCGTCGTCGAGGAACTGAATGACGCCGTTGGCGGCCGTGTCGTTGGGCGAGGGCGCGGCGCCGCCCGCCGTATCATTGCCGGCGACCGTCAGCGGCGAGCTGTCGTTGCCGAACGCGATCACGTCCAGGGCGGAAATCATGCGTATGGCCGCGGCGCAGCGGTGGCGTTGGCGGTGGCGGTGGTGATGCGTTGGTGATGGCGTTTGCGGTGGCGGTGACGGTGGTCTGGGTGGCGGTACGGGCGGGGTGTCGCCGTGTCGGCCTCCGTGCCTAGGTGATGCTAGACCGCAACCGGTGGTGGCGGACCGTGGCCGAACGCGCGCCGCTGCTGTCGCTGCAGCCGCTCCTCCCACTCCTCCTCCTGCTCATGCACCGCGGACAGGTCATCGGTTCACCCGCATACGGGCGACGGCTCGGCCACATCCGGACACCGCGGGGACGTCAGCGCGACGACGGCCGCGGCCGTCGGTCGCCCGTCACCGGCGCAGGACGGTCCGATGGCCGACAGGAGCACTGCGCCCTGAAAAACCGGCACGTTAGTATTCCGTTTCCAGGCCTACTGCTGGTGTAAAAAGGCTGACAACATACACTTTTTAATTTCATATTCCAAAGCATAACACTGTACGGAGTATTTCGACGTGTTAAGACGACGTTTTTGGACGAATAGTTGACGGACGAGTTATATAGGTACTTATTTAGAGTTCAGACGAATGAAGTAGTAGACCGTCATATTTTACAGAATTTGCACAATAGGTACAAAACTTATTTTACTCCACCGATTTAAACTCTAAATGCAATACTCTATGATACAACATTATATTGTGCTTTAAAATATGAAATTAAACGTGTATGGATTATTTTACAAAAAAAAATAATAAAAATAAAAACTTTAAAAAATTATAACGATGATAAATAATAAAAAATATATTTTTTTTTTGTTTTTACAATTATTTAAAAAAAAAAAAAGAAAATATAATAAAATTCTTTAGATTACGAGTATGATGATCGATAAATTTGGTTTATATAAATTTGCATTTTTTTCCAATTTATCTCTATTATATTATAGGTATACGATATATCTTGTATAATAATCGTTTCATTAAATTACAGAGATTACAAATTTGGCAACTATTATATTTTTCTAATTTTATAGCAATTTCTAGTTTCTGTGTAGTTTCAAACAATTTTAATGACGTACATTTATATAGGACGCAATTAAAATGCTAAAATTACATCATAAACAAATAGGTACTAATGTTTAAAATGGAAATTTTGATTAATAATTACTGATAATTTATAGCGCATAATTTTTTTTCTTGAGTATTTTTTTTAGATATTTACTGTTTTATTTATATTTTGTTATTTTCAAAATATTTCTTTATTTCTTTTTAAATAATACCATCAAATTGGAACGCTGATAATATTGTTGTGCACCTCATCTTAAAAATACTCTCGATTGATTGCATGAATAACTGATAGTGTTAATCAGTTTTACAATTCATTAATTTCATTGACAAAATTAATATATTATTTGATAATGATAATAATGATAAAATTCAAGGCTTCTTAACTTTCAGTGACATGCGTAGTATCAGATCACATTATTGTCTGTGCAAGTGTTGTAATTTGTTTAAATAAACATTGTTTTTAATTAAACTTCATTATTATTAAATGTTTTGTCTATTGTGCAATAAATTACAAAATATATTATTTATTTATTTTTTATTATTATCCTATTATTGAATTATATTAATTGTTGCATACAAGTTAATTAATTTTTAATTTTTATCTACTATACAATTAAAAACATTTAAAAAATGATATTTTGACATTTTTTTTAATCGTATAATAATAATGACTAGGATAACTCAAGTGAGTGTGTAGTATTCACAAAATAATTAGTATTGTTTGATCAAAAATAGACTGCAGAAAATAATTAAATCACGCGCGTTATCAAAGGTTGAGAAAATGTTTAAGTTAAAAAACAGATTTCACTCAACAAATAAATTATTATAAAAACCAAATATTAATAAACTAATAATATACATAAATACATACGTATTAATATATCATTTGATTTAATGAATCTTGAAAGTTATTCAACGGATTTCACTGCGTATACTAATTTATTGTTATAATATGGAAATTCGTGACTGTATTATATAGATACTATCGATATAATTTATAACAACCTAACACCGTTTTTAGTTTGAATTTCAAACACTTTATTATATATTATACCCAGATAGGTATTGTATGTTGTAAATCTAAGAAATTGTTGCGTGTTATAATATGAATCGCATGCGATATCGGTTAATAGATTAATATACATATCATTGAAACGATTAATATCATGAATTAATAATGGAGTATAGTTGTAATGGAATATTTGAACTAAAGAGCAACAAGGAGATTTGCCAACCCAGTCACCTTCTTCCGATATCTTTGCTTTTACACCTTTGAGCACAGTATTTAAAAATGCATGAGTGCTATTATAAATTTAAAGTCAATGAATAACGTTTAAAAAACATACACCTATAACACGCTAATTTGTTATAGTTTGCTGTGAAAACAAAAAATATCAATTTTAAACAATAACAATACTGCAGTTAAAGGTAAAATTAAAGCTTATAAATATAATTTACTGCAACGGTACACATAGAACTTATTAATATTTATCTTATTAGTAGATAATATATTAATATGTGTTGTACAACGTTGTTAAGATTTAAAACTTAATTCTCATCGTGTTGTAATACCAGTAGACAGGCTCAAACAACCAGTAAGTAAGCACCTATATGGGCTATATACTATTATAAAGTGTACATGTGCGATCAAACTCTCGTTCTTCAATCACATAATGTTATTATAACGACATTACACAGTCAACATCCGTCAAATCCTCAACGATTTCTAGGTTAGGTCAATTGTTTTGTGAAATATCTGGTGTGCAGTATAGGTATACAGAATACGCGAACAAATATAGAAGATTGTATATTATATGAGTGTATGCTAACGCAACGCAAAATAAATATAAAGAACATACATAAGAGCGTAGTTAAATGACGCCTGCCTGTATTATGAATACGACGGTGTCACGCAGCGACATAAACGTAATTTGGGAATGAGAGTGGTGTTTATCATCACTAGGATAACCATGAGCAAGATACTCAAAAATCAGTATCGCGATACTATAGATACTAAATACTTAGATAGTATCGAAATACTAGATACTCGATACTACATATAATTGTATCAAGATACTAGATACTCGATACAATTGTATCTAAAATACGTATCTTAGATACTGCCCAACCCTGAACATGACCGTCATAATTTATGCCATTTATACTTAACTAGTTCTTATTTTATTTTAATTAATTGATATTATATGCTGTTATATAAGGTTAATCGACCCAAATGTAGTATTTTTAGGTAGATGGTTAATGTCTATAAAAAGTTTAGATGAAAGAGTTAAATAGGTTTTTATAAAACAAAAAAATAAAATCACATACAATATACATAAACAATAATTATTATTAATGAACTCTAATTTTTAAAACACATTGGTATAGTATTTGAATATAGCAATGTCAAGTCAAAAAATAATAAAATAAAATAACATGCACATCAAAGTGCAATTAATCCTTTAGGTACATAGTTAAAAATAATTTCACTCACCCAAACGATCACCAATTGTTGTACAAATACTAAATAGTTATCATTAAATATAAAATTATATTTAAAAATAACACTCATAAATTTTTTTTCAAAACTTCGACTCTGAGCTTAGTCTGTGACACTTTTCCCGATAACCCTGCGTATGAATATACATATGATACTAGTACATAATAAAAATGCATAAAAATAACCGCTGGTCTGGAGTAAATTAATAAATATACCTTAAAATGACTAATATTTTGTTCACTATGAAATCGCTGAAGTGATTAAAAACAAGCATATACTAGTTGTTATAGAAAACCCAGTGCAAAATCGAATAGCAAAAATACTGTCATCTAATTCAAATGTTCGTTTTGACTGTAACTTAAAACAAAGGCACATTGCAACAGCAATGGGGTCAAAATATTTTTCACCATCAGAAAAATTATGACTCGTGCAGTGGTAAAAATACGAAGCTTCGGTAATTTATTAAACGAGCGCTAATAGTTTAATTCAAAATCCGAAGAGAGCTACTTGCTAAAAAGTTTTTTCGTTGTCCGATTTTCAAGCACTAATTTAATTACAGACGTTTTTCTGGGTTTAATTGAAAATCCTTTAATAGATACTGATATAATAATATTATTTTACTATTTTTCGACTAGGTATAAAACATATTTCACACTATGTGCTGTATAAAACCAAAAACAGTCCATCACCACATTTTTAAGACAACTAATTATACAATTTCTACCCACAGGATCATACTACGTAATTATCGCGTAACAGTATCAAATATAGTTCGGTATCTTCGACTCTTACAGAATTATATAATTAACATCTTGCGTACGTCTAAACCAACAACCATGAGTAATTAACGTTAAGTCGGTCGCCTAAGGTGAAATTTATTGGGAAAAATTATGGACATGTTTTTAAAAAGAACATGACGTTTATTGTAAGTATACAAAAATAATCAATGAATAAAACCAGCAAACAAATATCGCAAATAACGAATATACGCACGACTATTGGTAATATAACATAATTATTACGAGTATTGCTAGAGACCTACTAAAGTGTTATATAAAAACCTAAAGGACACCCACGATGTGCAATAAAACTGTTCAAAAAAATTCCATTTAGATATATTGTTACGTTCAATAAGTATCCATAATAATTGATTAACGTTATCGTACCATCAACGGTACACATGTTGATGGTAATATTTTAAACTGAAAAATACTATTTTTTTTAACTATTAAACTACTTAAAATCCATAAATTATATTAAATTATTTAAAACATAAAAAATATTCTTATCCATTAAACTATTTAATATTATTGTCTATTGACATTTAACATAATATAGTATTGTAATCATAGTCAGAATCATATACCGAGTGATTCACAAAATATACTCATTCCCGTTGTTTCTTCAACAACGCAGTTACTGAAAAAAATTGAACAATTGAACAAAAATTTCAGTTTTCAAATAAAAAACCAAAAAACCCCCTTGTTTTTACTGTAAATTATTTATCAGATACTTTTCTGAATATTTTGACGCTTCAAAATCAAAACTCGAATTAGTAGTTTTTGAGTTGTTTATAATTTTGTGAACTGTGTAATAAGTCCGTGATAATAGATTTAGAGCTATGGTGATTTTAGCAATTAATACTAATTTATCAACATTTATAATTTTTTTAAATAGTCCAAGTATAATAAATACATGTTCCGATATTAAATCTACTTTAAACTTTTGTAAAACTATGTGTTTGAGCTGTTATTTTTAGTATAAACATTTTAATAACTGAGAAACTAATCATTTAAAATTTTAAATTACGAACATCAAAATTTT